TGTGTTGCCTTCACAGAGTAAAATTTTACTTTAAGTACGTTTTGTTCAGTTTGTTCTAGGAGAGAGATCTAAAGCTAAAAAGAAAGAAAAGTTGAGATTTATAAGTTTGCAAAATAAACCAAAGGCAACCACAAACACAACCATAAAAAACATAAAGATAAAAGAAAAGGTAAAATGCGTTTGGAGACCCCATGCCCTGTCTTTTGATTCCAGGACCGAAGTAGCAAGAGGCTCTGAGAGGCTGTGGCTATTGCTACTAGGACCATGAAGGAGTCATGGCCGAGCTCCCGTCAAAGGTGCACCTCACATCGCACCCCATCTACCTGAGCATCAGTGGGCCCTCTGTGTATGAGGATGAGAACCAGCGCACGTGGCTGCATCTCTTCACGAAGACAGGAGGTGTCCTGCAAGAATGGTTGCGCCAGGAAGATATCCCCAGTGGGTATATCGCACCCACCACCAGCCCGCTGACCTCGACCACCTTGCCTTTGCTGTGGACGCTCCAACCTGGCAACCAGTACCTGGACTACCTGAGCCGATTCTGGCGCATCGTGCACCACATCAAGGAGAATGGCGTGGAGGAAATGATACTTGAGTTGAGGGAAGACTCCTTGAACAGGTGATGGTGTCCCTGACTCTTGTCAACCTGAGCCCCAGTCATGCTGGCCTGCCGGTTCGACGTGTATAGTTCTGTTCACCTTTTAAATAAGTTCTGTTGTTCTATCTGCCACCCACTTAGTCTGAGAGCACATTGATCTCTCTCTCTCTCTCTCTCACTCTCTCTCTCTCCCGCTCCCTTTCTTGTTATTCTTGTTGTTCTCCTTGTTGTTGTTGTTGTTCTCCTCCTCCTTCTTTCTCTCTCTCTCTGTCTCTTTGTATCTCTGTCTCTCTCTGTCTCTCTCCCTCTCTCTCAAATCAATAAAAGCATTTTGAGCCGAGCTGTTGTTTCTCAGTGGTTGAGGGACGACCTATGAACCTGGAGGTCATGGTCTGATTCCTCGTCAGGGCACAGACAAGAATTAAACAATGAGGCCTAGCTTGTTTGGCTCAGTGGAGAGTGGGTTGGACTGTGGAATCTGGAAGGTCCCAGGTTTGATTCTGGTCAAGGGCACATGCTCTGGTTGTGGGCTCAATACCCAGTAGGGTGCGTGTAGGAGGCACCCGATGTATGATTCTCTCTCATCATTTATGTTTCTCTATCCCTTCCTGTATGAAAAAATACTATATCTTTAAAGCCTAATATGCTAAGTGTCCAGTCATCTATTCAATCAATCAAAGCATAATATTCAAATGATATACTAAGGTTGCTAAACTGCTCACTATAACATGCATTGACCACTAGGGACAAGACTTTCAGACTGTTATGTCAGCTTCCTCCTGGGGTCTGGCTAATCGGGATTGAGTGAGATGGGATATACACACCCTCGAGCCCTTCCATGGTCCCTCCCCAGCTGGTCAAACTCCCGTGTCCCTCACCAGACCTAATGGTGCACTGGTGGGTCTATTTGGCCTGGCCTGTGCCCTCTCATAATCTGGGACCCCTCTGGGAATCTC